AATCAGAATCCGACCTTCAACGACGCGGGCACACTCGCTCAGACATTTTCATGACACGAGACTTGGACAGCAGCAGGCACGGGCGGCTCTTCCTGTCAGCAGTCTACGCTTGGGGGCCGCGTCCCTCTCCCCAGAGTGCAGATGAAGTCGTCCCCGGGAGAGAATCACACGTCCATCAGTGGAACGAAAGTTGAAAAGTCTCTTTTATTGGCTGCATCTCAAATTATTCTTCTCTTTAGAGGTTCAAGAGAGAAAATTTGGCTTTAGCTTGTTGCCTTTCTATGGAAGAAATGACTGATTTACTAGAATATCAAGGAAGAAAGATGCTCCAGGAGAGACTTTGTCCCCACGATGACAGTGGAGCAGAGATTCTCCGCGTTGCAGAGAGCGGGAGGTGGCCGGGGGCCTCACTGTAGCCGACTCGCGCTCCTGCAGGCGCGGCCCGGCGGGACGGAAGCGGCCACGGCCCCGGTTACCTCCACTGTCTCGTTTCCTGCGAGCACGTCTGAAACGCCCCCATCTCCTTGGGTCTAAATGCAGCTCTGCCCTCGCAATCAGCGGCTCATTCACCAAGACAGTGGCCAAGCGGGTGACTCTGGCCGCGGCCGCCAACATCTGCTGGCCTTTGAATCTGGGGCTTGTGATCACAGCAGGGGGAGCCGGGCAAGCGGGATGCTGCTTAATCTCCCACCGTTTGCTCCCATTTCACCTCCCTTCTCGGCCCAGCACCCTCGAGGCAGCCGGCTGCTCCCCCCATGGAGGTGATTCCCCGGACCCCTGGGCTTCCCTGATGAACCCACAGGCTGAAGGTCTTGGCTTAGAAACAGATCATCTCACAGAATGAGAACAGCCCACCTTAACACTGGGCAGAAGGATGAACAGACACGTCTCCCAAGAAGACGGGCGGCCGCTGCTGGTCACGGGGACTGCAGGCCCTCGCTGGCGCCCCTGCCGTGAGCCCGGGCGTGACCAGAAACAGCCAGAGCTGGTGAGGGGGTGCAGCAAAGGGGGGAGCCCTTGTGCACGGCTGGTGGGGTGTGGACAGCCCAGCCCCTGTGGAAAGCTGTGTGGAAGATCCTCAAAATATCAAAACCAGATCAGAGGGGCCTGAGTCCTGGGTTCCGGGGCTGAGGGGGCCAGAGCCGCCTCTCCAGCCAAGTCCCAGCCAACTGGCCCAAACACGTCCAAACGTGTGCGTGACGGCGTCTCCAGAACATTCCTGCTTCCGCCAGCCATTGAGCCGCACCGGGCCCCGCGCCCCGGGGACACCAGGCAGCCAGCCGTGTAGACGTCCTCCTCGCTCGCCTCCCTCCTCACTGCCGGGCCCACGAACCTGAGAGCACGGTGAGATGGACCCCAAGCTCTGCAAGCCGCGAAGTTCTGGGCCCGCTTGTGACGTGGACGTGGCCCCTGGCTCCGTGCTGTCTCATCTACGAAAAGGAGGCGCGTCCACGGCGCTGGCTTGTGGCAAATAAGAAAATGGAATAAAGAGATGCGGGAGTGTCCTGATCCAGGGCCAGCAGCCGACGCGTGCCAAGGAGCACTCCATGCAGGCGAGGGCGCTGGTGCCCAGTGGCCGGCCTGGGAGGTCCGGGCGAGCCCTGAACTTGCAGCCGTGGCACAGCCCCCCCCCGAATCCGTGGCCTAGAAAGGTCGGCAGCGGACTTCACTCTCGTGAGGCGCACACCAGCTTTCCTCGCGGGGACGCCTTGTTCCTGGAGGGCGCAGGTTCCCTCCGCAGTGTTGGTCCACACCCCCTGGGGCCCGCGCTGGCTGGGTTGGCTCCAGAGCAGGCGGGGAGAGGAGTCCAGGCAGCGGGGCGTCGGCAGCAGCACCCGGGGTGGCTGGAGCTGCAGAGCCTCCCCCTGCAGAGGAAGCCTCAGCCGCACGGTGTCCAGCCGGCCCCGCTGGCCCTTCTGCGACGCTAGTTCTGTGGACCAAGGGGAGAGCCGCTCTGGGCGGGCAATTTGGGGCACAGAAGCGATGAAGAGGGTCTCTCGCTGGAAAGGAAAGCGCTGGAGAGGACGACCTGAAACTCGGCTGCCTCTGCAGCGAGAAGCGCCAGTCCCTTAGGGAAGGGCCGGCCCAGCAGGAGACGTGACCCCAGCGGCAGCGAGGGCGGCTCTGGGTGAGCAACTTGACGTGGGTCTCCTGGCGTGGTCCGGGCGCGAGCCGCGGTCAGGCCGCCTTTCCCAGCCCTTGGGGCTGAAGAGGCCACCGCGGGGACCGGCTCTGATGTCACTGCTGCCCTGTGTGACTTCAGACCCCAGCTCTGCGCTGTCGTCATGGTTTCCAGAGGAGCCAGCGGGGATGCCCACAGACCCAGCGCCGTGTGCCGGGGAGCGAGTACAGTGCCCTCTGCGGCCTCCTGGTCTGGGATGGCAGGTGCGGGGACGCCCGAGGCAGCGGGCACACGTGTCTTCACCCCTTCTTCTCCCCCCACCACCCCAGGGTGTTCATCGTATGTTCTTGGCTACTCGCGCATCTCACAGGACATTTCGGCCTCTGCCTCCTCTCCGGCTCCCGGCGTGGTCGCCGCGGCTGCACAGCGGCCCCTCCCCGGGCCTCCGACGGATGAATAATGGTCTCGATCCCGCCGGCCTGTGGCCCTCTGGAAATGCTCATTTGTGGTTTTCTATAGTTTTCCCATTTGCTCTAGGGTTTTCTTTCTCATTGATTTACAAGAGTCCTCGCACAGTCTCGACATCCCCAGGCTGCTGTGCCTGAGGTGGCGAGTGTCTTCTCAGCCCGCCGCTTCCCCGGTAGCTTCGTGCTGCTCACCCTGAAGCAAAAGGCCTCAGTTCTGACGCCCTCACGTCCATCTCAATAATTAACTTTGTGGTTTGTTCCTTGGGCTCCTCTTTTAAAAGCCTTGTGCTAATTTTGAGTCATGAAAAAGGTATTTCTTCGTTGTTATAATGATCTTTAGTTCAGATGTTTAAACTTAGAACTTTAAACCACTTGGAGTTTGAATTTTCTACGCGGCTCGGCTGGGCGGACACTTCATCTCTGTCTAGAGGGGTTCCGTTGCTGCAAAGCACCTGCCGGCCGGCGTCTTCCTGGCGCCGCAGCTGCAGCCGCGCGGTAGGTGGAGGGGGGCTGCTGTCCCTCACAGGGCGGCTGATCTGTTGGTCTAAACTGGTGCAGGCCCACCTTGTCTTTATCACAATTGTTCTCTCAAGTCAAGTCTATCTTGACACTGAATTTTGTTCTTCATTTTCAAGATAAATTCAGCTATTCGTGGATCTTTGCCCTTTCATACAAATTTTAGATTTATTGTGTTGAATTCACGGACAACCCAGCTGGGATGTTGATTAGAATTGCACGAAATGTTCAGACGAGTGAGGGGTGATTGGCATGGCTGGGTGTTAAGCTGGGTAATTGGTCGATCTGCTACGTAGGCATCCTGACTGATGCTGATTTATACCAGGAAGCTGGCATGAATCTCCACTTATTCCATTATCAATATCGACTAATAATTTAGAAGTTTTCATAAAGGTGTCACGCAATCACTCTCAGGCTAATTTTTTTCCAGCATGGGCATTAGTCGTCACAAAAATTAATTGGGTCCACATTCTGGGGGGCACGTCAGAGCCCATCACCATGCCTCGGAGGGCGACCCACCCACCAGAGCCAGCGTGCGCTATTTCCACCTCCAACTTTCCTCCTGGACACAGCTCTTTAGAATATTTTAAAACTCCTATCAATTAAAATAAATTAACTGCACCCTGGGGCTGTGGTATCAGACGTGAACTTAGCCAGAGCAGGAAGATGTCAGCATGTTTCCAGTCCAGCAAGCCTTCAACATCATTCCCACACCAGGGAGCTGGGAGCCTTTGTTTTGCTTATCAAGATAACATGCATCAGGGAAGGAGGGCGCTGGCTTCGCTCTCTGGAGGAAGACTCGGCCCCCTTGTGCTTCCCTGCCAGCATCATTTTTGCAACAGAGAAGAACTCACACCCCGAGAAAGCGAGGGTCCAGGAGGTGGGCCTGACTTTGCTTTGAAGTCCTGTGTCTTAATAGCAAGTCCATGTTAATATCTTAGTTCTCCAAATACACTGGTGACATTTTTTCTAGGTCTAGGATACTGTGAAGTAAATTGGACAATCCAAGAGGTTGTGTTCCCTTAACCTGTGTAGGGGAAATGAAGATGCTCAGGCTTTTGCGTCTTGGGCCTCTGTGACTCTCACCTGCGTCCTTAAATGCAGGAGGCGCTTGGGGGCATGGGCATGGGGCATGCGGGCCTGATGGTGGACACCTGGAGTGTGGTGTGGGCGTGTGTGAGTGGGCGCACCTGAGCCTGGAGGCTGACGCTGTAAGGGCGGCGGCAGAGGCCTGTGAGGCAGAGAGCGGCATGAGACCATGAGAGAGCGTCAGAGCCCAGAGAGAGTGAAGACTTGCCAGGGGCTGGGAGGCCTGCCAGCCTGCCGACCCTGCAGGCCCCTCTGCCTGTCCTGCGCCTGGTTTCAGCGCTACAAATGACGTAGAAATATCATTACAAGCCTGAAAAAGCCACTGAAGGCTCTAGGACGTTCCTTTGCCCATTTGCCTGGATCCATTGAGAACCTGCCTACCTGCTGTCTGCCTGCACCCCAACCTGCACCCCAATCCCATGGCTCAGGGGTCCCAGTTCAAGGCAAGCGTGAGTCTGAAGAAATGCACTGTGGGTCTTAATGCCGAGGACTTCATGGGTTTGTGTGTCCCCTGAAAACTCCTATGTTCAAGCCCTGATCCCTGGCACCCCAGAATGTGACTTTTGGATGGAGCCTTTGACGAGCGAGGTTACTAGGGGGGTCCTAACTCCACTGGGGTCCGCAGAAGAGGCAAGGACACTAACAGTCCCATGGGAATGGCCTGTGTAGACACTGGGAAGAGGCCCTGCACGCGGGAGAGGGGCCTTGGGAGGAGTCAGCCCCGCAGCACCCCGAATCTGTGACTTCAGCCTCCAGAGCCCGGAGATAACCGTCTGTTGTTTAATCACCCACAGCTGGTGGCCTTCGTGAGGGCAGCCTGAGGGGGGTGGGCCCACTGCAGTGTGGATTTTAAAGAAGCTGTCTCTGCTCTCTAGTGATTCTCCAGCCTCCCTCAGACCTTCCACCAACTACTGGGCTCTGGGTGAGAAATCCGGATCAGAAAGACAGTGGTGTGGGCCAGAGGGAGGGAGCAGGGGCCCGAGGAACTACTCGGTGGGCGAGGCTGTGCTGGCAGCCAACAGAAAGGCAGGGTGTCTGTCTCCAGGTAAAGTGGTGACTTTCTAGAGAATTCTGAGGAAAAAGGGTGCGCTGGTCCCTTGAATGCACCATGAGCATACTAGCAGGATGAGAATAGTAAATGGAGATGGTCATTTACTGCTCATTCCCGGCCCGGCCCTGGGTGGGGACACACCAGCTCCCGGTGAAAGGGCCTGAGCAGTTGGGGCACAGGGGGAGTCAGCCTGCGAGCTCTTGGGGACCAGCGCTATGGGTGGGGTCAGGAGGGTGAGAGGAAGGTGGATTTTCTGCCACAAAGCATGGACTGGAGAAGTTAGGGGGCAGCTTGGGGACAGGATCTGCCCAGCACAGGGCCCATGGCCTGAGGAAAATGGGCTCAGGTGGGGCCGGGCATCATGCCCCTAAGGAGCCGCAAAGCAACATGCTCGCCCGTGGCATGTGCTTATTCAGTGTCTTGGGTCAGCCCTAGGGAAAGTGCTGGAAGGGGAAACGACTTCTTCACCTGCTGCTGAGCCTCAGGACAGGACTGGCCTACAGGTGAGAAGGTTTAGCTTGTGGAAGTGGAAAGGAGAAGCAAAGCACGCCAGGCAGGTTAGCCAAGGGAGGACTTCACGGTAGTTTCTGGGGTTGAATTTCATGTTGAGGCCAAGGGGCATGGGGGAGCTCTCTAAGTGTGGGCCCCGCCCCCCAACGTGACCATGGAATCTGTCCCTGGGGTGTGAGGAGGGGCTGTGAGTGATGTTACAAAATCCCAAACTCTAAGATCTGAAAACAAACAATTACTTGAGCAGAAAATGAGGGACCAGCTCTAGTTTTCTTGTTAAGGACTTGTTTCTAAACAGCTGAATAATTACTGTCATCTATTTAAGATTTCCAGATGGTTTCTAAATTTTTCTGCTTTCTTCAAAATTTCTCAGCCTTTTTACACTTGTCTCAAAGATAGCTAGAACATTTCTAATTGGATCATTGCATTTACAACAAACACTTCCTGGAGGACCACTCAGCAGACACTGGTGAGGGGCCTCCACCTCCCATCTTTGGAAGAGCTGGAGTTTGTAGGATTCCGTATCATTAGGATTTTTCTCATTGCATTGACTATTAAGTCAGTTTACTGACAGATCCAATATTGATTTCTTAAGTTGTCTAATTCTGTTTAAAATAACATTTTTCCCCAGAAAAACTGGTATTTCAAGTTGATCTGACAACACAGAATAGTAGTAATTTGTGCCTGGTGACCTCAGTGCTATGGATTTTTCTATGCATGAAGGAACGTGAAGTCTTTTTGAGGATCCTCTAGTTTCTGGCCTTTCACTCAGGAAATCAAGCAAACCTCACCCAGGGGCTCGGGGGGCGCCATAGCCCCCCGTGTTCTGGTTATGAATCCCTGCATTCATGCTGTTTTCCAGGTCCATCCGGGACGCAGCGGCCCCGGAACTGCACCCTGAACCTGTTATAGAGCAGCCCCGATATTAAACGGGTTCCTGGCTGTGGGTCCTCACCCGCGCGCTTACAAGGGACTTATGAATACTCCACGACAGGCACACACAGAAGGTTCATAAAAGGTTTATTTACAAGGGAAAAGGAAATAAGGAAAATGGACAATTCAGGGAGAAAATAGGGAAATAAAGTCTTTCATGCATCCTCCCCGATCCGCCGACCTGGAAACCCAAAGGCACTCTCCGAGCTGGCCGGATGCTGTGAGTTGGTGGAGAGCCAACATGGGGGACCCCCCCCAAAGCCCACGTGTCTGCCTTTATACCAACCTGGCTGCTGAACCCCACCCTCAGGTCCCAGCCACCTTCCCTTGGGTGGGGATGGGATGTGGAGTTCCCAGTGTCTTTGGCCTGGGGTGGGGGTGGAGTCCACAAAGCCTGTATGGGATTAGTTTTGGGACAGCCTTTTCCCCCTAACAAACCCACCTTCCTGGCTCCCATTCTTCCAGTTTTCGGTGGCTCAGGCCACCTGGGCTGCTCACTTTTCCCAAACACAATCTTGCAGTTCCTGAGTTTTTTTTTTTTTTTTTAAAGATTTGCTTTATTTATGCATACAAGAACTGAGGTGTAAGCCAGAGGTGTGTTTCTACTGGTTTCATTTTATTAAGTCTTCCTGGAGGGTGCTCCTCGAGTATTCTTTGCTGCCTGCATTTCTACTCCTCTTTGGAGGGACCATAATTCTGTGACCTAGAGACACATTCCCGCATGGATGTGTTCCTCCTCCTCCCGATAAACTAGTGATGAAACCATGACTGTTGTCAACAGATGGATGCTAGAGGCTGGGTGGTGGACGGGAGATGATGGACATGACTGGTGGATGCATCGTGGAGAGAGACCACCGCAGGCGCCCCCTTTACTGTGCTTTGCTCTAGTTCACTTGGCAGATAATTGCATTATTTTACAATTTTTAGTAATACAGAATTTTAAATTAAGGTCTGTACTTTTTTATAGGTGCAATGCTCTGGCACACTTAATGGACTACAATGGACTTACTAGACTACAAAAAAAGGTATGTGGACTGGGCAACCGAAGTATTCACGTGCATTGCTTTAGCGGGATATCGGCTTCATTGCTGAGGTCGGAACAGAACACGGCAGGTCTTCAGGGTGTGTCTGTAAGAGGTGATGGGTGGGTGGATGGCTCCGTCTCTATTGCATATATTCTGAATTACATGCAGCTCGCGTAATTGTTACAGGGCAACCCTGCTCTAACACGGGTTGCCTGGCTGCGGGTCCTCACCCGCGTGCTGAAAAGGAACTCAGGCCGCAGGCACACACAGAAGGTTAGCACAGGTTTATTTACAAGGGAAGGGGAATGAGGACATGAGCAACTCAGGGAGAAAAGAGGGAGATAAATTCGTACACGCGCTCTACCCGCTCCCCGACCTGGAATCCCAAGGGACCAGCCGGGCCGGAGCTGGAGCCAAGGAGCCCACCCCGCCCGGCCGTTTCAGTTACAAACTGAGAAAATGGCTGCTCAACTCCGCCCTTAGGGCCTCGCAACCTCCCTTGGGGATTTCTCTTGTGAGCCCCCTGCGGTACCCTGGCAGCCGCCTTGGGGCTCTGTTCTCTTTAACCCGGGTCAGGGGACTTGTAGCTCCCGAGTCTGGATGGCTCTGGTCTGGGGCGGGGCGACATCCCAAAGCCCGGGCGTTTGCACAGGACATCTCCCCAGCAGGAGGCTGCTCCCCCTCGCTGCGCTTCCAAGGAAGGTGAGGGCCTGGCGTGGGGCCCAGGGGTGTGGGCTGCGCCAGGAGCGCCCCGGGAGGCGCAGAAGCCACCCCAGACCCCACCCTCAGACCCCACCCCTAACTCGCAGACCCCACCCCGCACCGCAGGAACCTGCTTTCCCGGCAGCGGCCGCGGGCTGGACCACGTGCTCTCCCGGCCACGTGACCCTCCGCCTGGGATTTCCGGGCGCCGCGGCTCTGGGGCGCCCGCCCATCGCTCGGAGCCCGTTCCCCCGTCCGAGAGACGCGCCCTTGCGCGCTGGCGGCCGCCGGGTGTGGACGGCCCGACGCGCTCCCCGCGGCCGCCTCAGCCTCGCCCGGAGAGGCCCCTGCGCCCGCTGCCCAGAGCGCCCCTCCCGGCTGACGCGCCCCGGGACACGGGGACACCGCGGGGCCCTGGGCCGGAGAGCGGGGGCGCCCCGGCCCGTCCCCCACGCGGGCCCCACCGTCCAGCGAGGCCCGGCCGGAGCCCCGCCGCCGCGTCCACTACTGCGCACCGGCGCGCGCGCTCGCACACCCACTCACACGCACTCACGCGCACACTCACTCTCACACTCGGCGCCCCCCCACGGCCCCCCCCCGCCCCCAGGCGCCGGCGGAGGGAGGGGACCCCCCTTGGGCAGGGACCCGGGGCCGCGGGGTCACTCGGGCACGCGACCTCCTGGGCCGGGACGAGCGTCTTCGGGGTCTCCGCCGCGGCTCCCGTCCCCCTGCGCTGACCCGGCCCTCCGCCATCGTCCAGGGCGCGCAGCCGGCGGAGGTGGGGGGGGGGCGCCGCGGGGGCGAGGGGGGAGGGGGGGCGCCGCGGGGGGGGGGGGGGGGCGCCGGCCTGAGGCACCGCGCTCCCCCGTGGCCGCGCCGTCGCGAGGGGGAATACGACGGCGCGCACCGTCCCCTTCCGGCCTGGCCGGCGGCGCTGCTCCCGCGGGTGCCCTCCCGCGTCCCCCCGGGTCCCCCGGGGCCTCCCGCGCCTTCCCGGGGCATCCGCGCCCTCCCCGGCCATCCCGGCTCTCACGCGGGCGCGGGCGGACGTTCCGGTCGCCGCCAGCAGGGGGGCCGGCGGGCCGGGCGCGGAGCTGTCCCCGCGGGCGCCGACCCGGGTGCGGGGTGCGGGGCGGGCGCTGCCCACGGGCGCGGGGAGCGCGGGGCCGGCCTTGTCTCGGGGCTCCCAGTGACTTCCATGGAGAACGCCGGGAGGAAGAAGTCGCCGCTCTCCGGGGAGCCTGGCCTCCTGCCCGAGCCCCCGGGGTGGACCGGCCGGGAGCCCCTGGGAGGCGGCGCGCGCGAGCCCTGGGAGGAGAGAGCGGGCGCGCCTGTCCCCGGAATGGGGTGCGGCGAGGCCCGTCTGCGAGCGCCCCCGGGAGTCGCCCCTCTGTGTCCTGAGTGTTCCCCGCGGCGCCTGCAGCTGCTTATCACGTTATTTAGAGAAAACGAAACCAAAAAAATCCAGGCTGTCCGAGCTCCAGCTTCCCACAGAGGATCCAGCTGAAAATAACGGACGGCGAGGCCCTCGCAGGGCGCCCGCGGGCCACAAGCCCCGGGAAGCTCCGGCTGGTCTCCCCGAGCGCGCAGGCGATGCTTCAGAAGATGAAACCCGGGCAGTGGGGGGGGCGGGGGCGCCCTCGAGGGAGAAAGGGAAAAAGACAATTGAGTTATTTTTCCAAAAATATTTGTGCGGGCCTCCCCAGTGGCGCAGCGCTTGAGCGCAGCCTGTGGAGCTGTCCGCAGCCTCTGGGCACTGGCTCGATCCCGGCCGGCCAGGGAGACACCCACACGGTGCAGCAGACCTCGCCTGTCTCCCCGCTGCTCCCCGCAGCTGTGTGTTCCAGGGGATCCGCCTGCTCTGCTCCCCGCTCTGTCTCTGGTGGATCCTCTCACCCTTCCGCGCATCTGACCTGTACCCCAGTTCTTGTATCCATGAATAAATAAATCTTAAAAAAATTATGCATACATACAAGAACTGGGGTGCAGGCCAGAGGTACGGGGCGGGGGGTGAGAGGATTCACCAGAGACAGAGCAGGGAACAGAACAGGACGGACTGACTGAAATCCACTGCTGGGGGGAGCAGCGGGGAGTCAGGGGAGGTCTGCTGTGCCGTGGGGGTAGCTCCCTGCCTGGGGATTGAACTCAGCCCAGTGGCTGGTGAAAGCTTGATAGCGCTGAGACTTAACCCCGGCGCCACCAGGGAGGCCCCCAATTCAGTTATTTTTAAACCTGAATACCTAGAATTAGTTGAGAAAAAACCACAAAGACAAAAAACAAAACAGATCCACGCCTTCCCAAGTCAGGGTCCTTGCAGACCGACACTAGAAAGCTGCTCGTTGACAGAAGTGCGTCTCCTTGTGCAGCTCCTTCCTGCGGGCAACCTCAGGAGTTAATGATAAAAAGCAAACAAGAAACAAAACCACAAACACCGAAGATCAGAACTCAGGTGCTTTTTATCACTGCGGTTTTTGTTTTTTTTTCTTTGAATTGCACTTTATTTTCCAGATCTTCATCTGTGGCTATTGGTAAGAATGTTTGGAACCTTGGGGTCCTCTTCCTGTCCTGTCTCTGGCTGGAAAATGAAGCTCTCTATGCAGATGATCGCCTCCCGCCTGGCTGGCTTGGGTCTGTGTAATGGGGTTGCTGACATTTCTTTGACCTCCTAGTGGAATAATTAGGTGCTCCAGTTACCAAGCAACCGAGAGTCGGCCGCCCAGGGGCACAGAGTCCCAGGCAGACTCCTCTGTGGGCAGAGTCTCCATCAGATTCGGGGGTGCCGAGCTTCCTGCCACCTCTGCTGGCCCCACACTGGGCCCCTGCTGTCCAGAGGGAGGCCCGTGTAGTTCAGGGGAGACCTGAGTGTCCGTGTGGACACGTCATGTATGTGGGCCGTGGGTAAGGAGAGACAGCGCAGGTGCTTCGCGAGCTGCTCAGCTCACAGGCTGCCAGGCCCTGAGTCCACCCACTTCCGGACCTGCCGGAGGGGAACCTGCCCTTTGTCCTTCCCCCATGGCTGTGGTCGGTCGCTTAGCAACCAGGCCGCTCAGGGCACCTGAGGGGAGCCACACCTGGTCACTTCTCTGCTGTTAAACCTCCACATGGCCTGGCTGGTGCAGAGCCCCTGTCCTGGGGGTGGGGGCCCTGAGACCGGGCGGTGCCTGGGGGAGGAGGCGGCCTAAGTGACCAGCAGTGTCATCTCGAAAAGCCCTGAACAGGGAAAGCACAGCATAAGAGGATCGTATTTTCCTTCGAATTTTGTTCAATAAAACCTAATAACTTCCTGATGTGGATGCCAACAGTCCCCCAGCCGCGGACAAAAGCATTATGCAAAGTTGTGTTTGTATAGTGTGTCCACCCTAAAGTCTGCATGTGTTGGGGAAAGTGCTCCCACACCACACGGGCCCCCAGCACGCCCCGGGAAGGCCCCTCTCCAGCGGCGGCTGCGTGCTAGGCAGCGCAGGGGCTTCCGGGGGGCCAGGGCGGAGGACAGCTCTGTGCTGGCCCCGCCGGATGCCAGTGCCTTGCCGGGCCACTTCCCAGAGCTTAGACTCGGCTGCCATTTGTAGACATGAGAGCCCAGGGCCGCTGGGCCCTCAGCCAAGTCCCTGTTCTGCTGAGCATGGCCCGTGAGCCCCATACCAAGCCCCGGAGGGAGGGCCTGTCCCGCCCCATCTTCCAGATGAGAAAATGGGTGCAGAGTGACTGGTGGTGGTGAAGCTGCCCAGCGGTGACCCTGAGAGGACTGGCCTCCATGGCACCTGCTCCCACACACCCAGCTGTCCTGCCCCTTCACAGTGGGGTGACAGGTGACAGGACACCCCACAGGCCCATGTGAGGGTGACAGAATAGAGGGTGCTGGAGAGGCCCTTGGGGGTGAGTGGGGTAGCTCATTGAGATTAGTTATTTAAAATTCAGTTACGACATGTTTGTAGTAGAGATTATGTTTCTGGAATGTTCCATTCTGGAGGGAGAAGGCTGTCTGATGGGGTCTGGCTGGGTTGACAGGGTACCAGGATTCTACTTGATGCAACTATTACTGGCTTGGCTCTCAGTGGGTGACCTCTTCTGTGCTGGCCCGTGCGGGGTTGAGGGACCAGGGTCTGTCACAGGCCATGGGAGAGAGTGACATGGACTCGGACAGGCAAAGTGGGGCTGGGAGACTGGGGAGGGCCCCAGGGCTTTCTTCGCCGTGACCTTCCTGGGAGCAGACCCCAGTGCTGCTGGAGCTAAGGGCAGCGCTGATGTCCTTGGGGAGGGCGATCCAGGAGGAGGCCGTCTCAGCCAGCTTGGGCTGTTTGAAAAAAATACCATGAACTGGGTGGTTTGTAAGCCACAGACATTTCTTGCTCAGAGAGCAAGACTCTGAGTCCTGAGGGCCTAAGGCCAACTTCTTCCCGTGCCTCGCATGGTAAAGGGAGAGCGGGCCCCTCTGCCTCTTCTTTTTTAAAAAAACATTCATTTATGCATGAAGAGCCAGATGGGGTGCAGGCCAGGGCTACAGGGGTGAGAATGTTAGGGGGAAAAGGCTGTCCCAAAGCTCATTCCATACAGGCTTCGTGGACTCCACCCCCACCCCAGGCCAAAGCCAAAGACACTGGGAACTCCACATCCCATCCCCACCCAAGGGAAGGTGGCTGGGACCTGAGGGTGGGGTTCAGCAGCCAGGTTCGTATAAAGGCAGACACGTGGGCTTTGGGGGGGTGGTCCCCCATGTTGGCTCTCCGCCAACTCGCAGCGTCCGGCCAGCTCGGAGAGTGCCTTTGGGTTTCCAGGTCGGCGGATCGGGTAGGACGCATGAAAGACTGTATTTCGCTATTTTCTCCCTGAGTTGTACATTTTCCTTCTTTCCTTTTCCCTTGTCAATAAACCTTTTATGAACCTTCTGTGTGTGCCTGTCGTGGAGTATTCCTAAGTCCCTTGTAAGCGCGCGGGTGAGGACCCACAGCCAGGAACCAGTTCAATATGGGGGCTGCCCTATAACAAGAGGACTCACCAGAGACAGAGCAGGGAGCAGAACAGGCGGATCTACTGAAATGCACTGCTGAGGGGAGCAGCGGGAGACAGGAAAGGTCTGCTGCGCCCTGTGGGTAGCTCCCTGGCCGGGGATCAAATTCATGCTGCAGTGGCTGGCGATGGCTTCATAGCGCTGAGACTTAACCCCTTGCGCCACCAGGGAGGCCCCTCCTTCTGGAACCTGACCCTGAGTCTTAAGGAGGGTCCAGAGACAGCAGCAGACTCTTCAGTCGAGTCAGGCACAAGGGTTGGTCTTTGCTTCCAAACAACCCGAGCCGAGGGCCCAGAATTCCAGGAGATTATTTCCACGATCTTTTCAGCCTGCAGTTTCTCCGGTCGCGACAATCTCTGTCATCCACATATGGGACCTCTCCCTTTCTTTTCTCTGGGCGAATAATTCGGGTTGTGTAAAATGGAGTTACAAAAAGGTGGCTGTTGTTAAGCCTTTGGGGGGATTGGCTAAATAACAGGCCTTTTAATTCCTAAGAAAATTGCTCCTTCTATGCAGAATAGACGGGGCCATTCACATGCGAACACAGCCTTTTCTATTCTGACACAGCTTCCTTTCAAATTCGAGCCCCAGTATGTAAATGGAGCCGACAACCAAATTCCCTTCTCCAACGGAGACTGTTAATCTTTTTCTTTGAAGACCTTCACCTCTTTGAGCCAGGAAATTACTGTCAACCTTCTTGCTGCCTGCAGCAGAGCGAACTGAGCTTTTTTCTCCCGTATTTTTTTCTTGAAAGGAATATTGTGCCAAGGGCGCTTTCTAGACATACGTCTATATTTAAAAATCATTATCTTCAAAAATTGGCAGCGAAAGTCATTGACAGCGCTGTGTTCACATCACCTCGCTGGAGTGCAGGTTAAACATCTTCCCATTGTCTGCGGGCCTGGAACTCAGGTCTCCTCACAACACTTGAGTTCAGAGTAATTACTGCGCTTTCCAAAGGAGTTTCTGTGTGATTACCACGCAGTTTACTTCGTGGTAGCTATGCAATTAACTTGTCTCACTTCTCTAAATGGAAAATACTATAATTCTAATACAAATGGTGTGGAGGCTAGTTTTCTCCACCGCACTTTAAAAACATCTACATTTCCAGAAGGGCATGTCTCCTGTCCTCGTCTTCCGATAGCTTCGCCGGCGTAGTTAATTATTTTTTGCTCTTATAGACCGAAGGCAGGCAAGATGGTTAACATTTTATTGGAATGCCCCCAATTATCGATAAATCTCGGAGATATAAAAAGTGATAATGGGAGTTAAATTAGCCACACAGATGGCGCTCTGGCCGGGGCTGGGCGGCTCCCTGGAGGCCTGGAAGGAAACGGGCCCTCTTGTCTGTCCCGCTCATAGGTTAGCAGCAGCTTTGGGAGGGAATTTGCTTGAGGGAATTTGGGAGGGAATTTGCAAATACAGAGGAATTTGCCCTCTGTATTTTCTGCTGTCAGGGTGTGGGTGGCGTTTGGAGAATGTTCCAGGAAACGCTCCCTCCTATTGTTTGAGGCCCAGGTCAAGGAGATGGAACTGGGCACTAATAAGAGGTTTGAAACGTGAAGTAACCCCACAGGCTAATTACAATCTAGAGAAGAATAGATAGTGTCAACCATAGATTTTTTTTTCCTAGAAAAATCACTTTGCTTGTTCCTATCTGTATGACCATCTTCGATGACTTTTAGATGGCCCTTGGAGATGACTGATGCATTAATTTCTGAAAGCAAATCAATTTACCTGTCAAACTGTGGGCCCCAGGATCAGCCCTAGGTGTGATTCTTCCTCTGCTAATTGGATACATCCATGTGTCCACCCCACTAACCACACAGCCGGGAGATGAGGACTATGGGAATAGAGGCGACCCCTGCCTCTGAGGACCCCGAAGCCCAGCTGGGGAGGCACTCAGGGCAACAGGGTTGAGAATATGGCTGGAAAGTCCACCAAAGGTACAAGCAAATTTGCTAAGAGGATGCACACCAGTCCCCAAATGCACGGCACATCTCCCCTGAGCAAGGTGCTGTTTCCATTCGTGGAGGGGCAACAGGGAGTGAGACCCAAGTTCCAGGTCCTCGCAGAGCTTCCTTCTCTGAGAGGAACCGCCAATCAGCAGGCGCACCACTTGCAGGCACCGACACACGTTTGCAGGGAGGACAGGGCTTGCCGGGTGAAGTGGTCAGGGAAGCTTGGCATGAGAAAGGGACATTTAAGCAGACACCAGAATAAAGTCGAGGCAGGCAAGGGAAGGAAATGCCCCAAGGGAGGGGGTGATCTTCCATGTGAAATGTGAAGAGGAGAGAACTCCCTGCTGCTCTTGACAAGATGGCGGTCGTCGCCGTGGGTGTCTCAGAGGAGCGCTCAGGGACAGAGACCTCCATGGAGTAGGTTCAGGAACAGGTTCAAGGGATCGGCAGTATGGAAGAAGAGGAAGAGACTGTCAGAAATCACTGTTTTGGGGAGGTTTGCTATAAAGAGGAGAGATGTGGGTGGAAGGTGGAGGTGAGCACGGGGCTAAGGAAAATCTTTTGAAGCAAAGAGATATTACATGGAGAAGGAAGGACTTGACGGTCCATGTCTAGAGCCAGGCTGCGACTTTGAAGCAATGATGGGGGTGCAGACTCCAGAGAAGGGACGAGCAGGCCCAGCTCTCACAGGAGGGAAGGCTGGGTGTGCGGGTGCAGAGGCAGAGAGAGGGGACGAGGCTGGGGAAGAGAACAGGAGAGAGCTCAGAAAGGCAAGTGACTGGAGAGCCAGCTGGAGGCACAGGCCCTCGCTGCAGGGGGGCGCAATTTCAAGGACTCTCTGCCTCCAAATTGGGCGGCCTTTATCTAGCTCCTCCTTCTAGCCAGTAGGACTTTGAATTCCTCTCCACTTCCAATGGGCCCAGGCTTTGTCCCCGACAGGCGATACTTCATTGTGAGCTGACCCTTGCTAGTTCGGTGGTGCGTGTATAGGTCGCCCCTTCACCCCAAGTGTCTGCATCCTTCTAAATCGGTCACTTTATGTGACAAAAGGGCTTTTGCAGATGTGATTATGTGGAGGATGTTGAGATGGAGAGATTATCCTGGATTGTCTGGGTGGGTCCAGTGTCATCACACGTGTCCTTTTAGAGGGAAGCAAGAGGTCAGGGTGCTGGTAAAAGTGCCAATAGAAGCGGGGGTTGGAGTGAGGCAGGGCCAGCAGCCAGGCAATGTGGGCCAGAAGCCAGGAAAGGCAAGGAAATGGATTCTCCCCGAGAGCATCCAGAAGAAACAGTCCTGTGGAAACCTTGACTTCGTCTTAGTCTCATTTCAGACTTCTGACCTCCAGAGCAGAAAGGTAATTTGATCTGGATTTTAATTCTTGTCCATGATCATTTGACAGCAGCCGCAGGAGACAGAGTACATCTGTGATGAAAATCTACCGAAGCTGAGACCCATTCCTTTCCAAGTCCTGTTCCTGCTCGTCGTAGGATGCGCTGTCTGTGAAAGCTTTGAAGCGGGTGGCAGCGCCTTTGGAGATGAGGGAAGGCTGGTCAGAGAGCACCAGTGAGCAGGTGCCACCTCTGGCACCTGGTCATGCCCCAGGTGTGAGAGCTGTGATATCTCCAGCCACAACATCAGCGTTGATGATACTCACTGTCAGGTGAGTCCCTGCACAGCGCTGTGCCTATGATGGGGAGGGAATGGTCTCAGTTGTGTGCTGTGCCCTGGGCCTCAAGTCCCCCCACCCCCATTTTCTTGCCCTGTTTTGCAAACAAAAGGTCTGTGGGACCCAAGGGGCTGACTTAGTCTTCAGAGGAGGACAGGTCAAAGACTTCCATGTCATCTAATTGGGTCAACAGTATCCTTCACTGTTACAAGGTTGGGCCTTCTCCAAGGGACTCCCAAGATGGCCACCACTAGGCGGTTTTGTCGCTGCAGCTGTTCCCACCATAGTTTCCGTTGCTCATTGCCGGCATCCCCAGGGCTTTCGTTACTAAAGCTCGTGTGCTGTTTTTCTCCATGTGCACCTTGGGCTATTTTATGATGGGTGGAATTTTAGAAATCACAGGTACTAAAATCAGAATTTCCAAATCAGAGACATTGCAGCCATCGAAGGCAACGTGAGCTCTGGGCGCGGAGTCACGGGCTGTTCGCCATATTCTCCAGGAGTGGGGGTTCTCATTCTTTGCTTTGAAGGCACTACTTCCAATACTACCACCCTTCATGATTTGAAATAGAGGGAAACCATAGCCTCGTGCCTGCTCACTCGCAAGCAGACAGCAACTTGCGGTCCTAAAGTGAGCATTATTCTCACGTCGTCCAGTCACAGCTGTGCAGCCACAGGCTTTGCCAAATGCTGCAACATGAGACACACCCACAATCTGAATTGGAGCTCCAAGTGCTCCACTTGAGTCCAGGAAATAAAACGTCGAAAACAGAGTGTGAACGCACCGTGGCAGGGCTTGGATGATGCCTCTGCAGGAAGTCAAGGTTGGGTGTTTTAGCAACAAAGAGGGCAGGAAAAGGCCCTGGCCAGTGACCTAGATCCGGCCCTTCACCCAGGCAGGCTCGCGGCTGGGGGGCGGGGGGGTGAAGCCTCGGGTCGCAGTCATCGAGAAAGAGTCTGTTCAGAACAGTGGCCTCCGGTCTATGAGCACAGAAATCCCAGAGAGGGTGAACACCCTCAGGACATGGCTGTGGGGGGCGTCCCGACTGGCTGGTAGCCTGGGCTACCTCAGGATGTGGGCTGGCACAGAGGTGGCCTCTGAGGGGAGCAAAGTCTCCATGGGTGGGTCAGCAGATTTGTCAGCTCTTTGGTAGAGCCTTTCTTTGAGCAATTTCCCTGGGAGGGGGCTTGACTACCGCTTCGGGCTCCTGCTACACCCTCTCACGCTTCCCTGGATCTACTGACTGCAAGCCAAGCCCCCCATGTGGTTGCAAACCCCTGAAGAGCTGGGTCAGGGTGCTCTTCATTTTTCTTGCATTTGTGCTTTCCATGCCCGACTCGTTGTGGACATTCAGTGAATGTCGGATGCATGAACAAGGGGGATCCTCTCAATAGGGACTGGCGAACAGTGGACCTTGGGTCAAAGTTGGGCTGCTAGCCTGCTTTTGTAAATAAAGTTTTATTGGAACATGGTCATCCTCATTCACTTCATGTTGCCATGGCATGGTGCAAAGGCAGACTTGACTAGCTGCTGCTCTGCCACGCACAACACCCAGCTGGTCAGTCTCCGGCCCTTTCTCTACAGTCAGTGTGTCCTAGTGTGTCCTGGCCCCTGCCCGACGGCAACAGCATCCCTCTTGGCGATTGTGTCTTAAGAGCAAGGTATAGTGATATTTTGAGTCTCTTTGAAGTTTCCTAATTTATCGCTTAGGATAATCAGAGAGAGTCAAAGCCAAATGCACTCAGGGTTGAGAATTAACACAGACCATTCCCTTTATTCAGAGCCGAACTGTCCCTTTATTCAGAGCCGAACTGTCCTTGGAATCTGAAGGGTTTCCAAGTCCCCACCCCAGGTCTTGAGAGGGCTCAGTGGGTCCTCAGCAAACCCTGAAGAGTTTTCTAACCCCAAGTTATTTTCTCATTCACTTGTGCAAACCACTGAAATTTCATCAAGTATCTCCAGATTAAGGATATTACTGACTTATGGTTTATCCCTCAATAAAAGCACTTGCCTGTTCTTTCTGATCTGAGATCAGTGCTGGGGGGCGGGAAAGGTTATGAGGTGGTAGCTGTGTCTGGTGCTGCTGGTGGTGAGGGGTTGCAGTGGAAAATAAAAAAGACAGCAGAATTATTTTGGACTTGGACTCTTTCAAGAGAGAATAACCTGGGCGGGTTTTCAGAGCTGAGATTTAGTGAGGGGGAAGCTGGCCCGGGCGCCTGGAGGTGTGGGACAAGGCATATGGTGGAGGAGCTGGGCTGGGTGAAGGGTGGGCCTCAAAAAACATTTCTCTAATTCTCGTGCGCGCCTTGGGTCCACTGCTCTGAGCAGGACCTCCTTACCCACTGCGCAAGCACATTCCATCCAGTGTTCCCCACAGACACCCTCCTCCTGGGGTGCGCTTGGCAGTGCCCGCAGACATTTTTGGCTGCCAGGAGTGGGTGTGGACAGATGGACAGATGCTGCTATCCTCTAGTTAGTAGAGACCAGACGTCCTTCCATGCACGGGAAGGTCCCCCTCGCCCCAGCACCCACATAACCAGCAAAAGTCATCTGGCCCCGCGGGCCGGTGGTGCCAAGATTGGGAGCCTGCTCAAATCCCTCACGCGCCCGCAGCCTCTGACGTGGGGATAATGAGGCTGAGACACTCGCCAGGGAGGGACGTGCCAGGCTGGGCCGAGAAACTTTTTTTCTTGCTTAGAAGACTGCCAAGCAATTAGACGGGGCATCTACATTCTGTTTGGGAAGAATAGGAAGAATTATCTTGTCATCACAGGGCAATTATCCTGCGAATATTTTGGCAGTACATTATGGTTTGCTATGTAATTGCAATTAACATGTAAGCGATCTAGAACTTCTGGTGAGTGTCATTCCTTCGCTGAAAAATACGTGAGTCACGCTGAGGTGACAGCCAGACACAGGTGACATGTGTCTAAGAGGAGGTGGCAGCAGCCACATGCTGCCTTCTGGCTTGGTCCCGGGCTTGCTTGGGGTCATGTTTCATTGAATTTTAAGGCAGCATCTCAGAGCAGACACGAGGAGCCGGGGACAATTACCCGTGTTGAGAACGGGCAGGTGTGGTTTATCCGTTTCTGTGAAGGGCCTCGTGTTCCTCTCAGCCGAGCAGAGTCCGTCTCTTGTCTCAACAGCTTTTCCTCCCGTCCTTACAAATGTTCCAATCTGGGTTAAAATTGCTTTTTGCACACACACGCATCTCCTTCTTTATGAGCGGTCTCGGGACGGGGCTTCCGGATGGCGTAGCTCTGCTTTCCTTCCGCAGTTGTGTGTATCGGTGTCTGCCCAGGGAGCAGCCTACACTTTGAATTTTCAGGAATGATTTGCTCATTTTTTTCAATCAGCAAATTTTCTGAAAATGTTTTATTTTGAAATGAATTCTTTTTCTCCTCGCTAGTCACTTCCAGCGGCGAAACAGGAAAGTTATGGGTGTGTCTGGGTAGCGAGTGCATCCGAGTATGAAGTGGAGATTTGGCCGGACCCCGACAAGCTGCTGAGTCTCATCGGGGGGCCCTGGCATGGCGTGTGTCTGGCTCCCGGGGGAGCTGGTTGGAGTTGGGGGGAGCCCTGGCTTGTGTAGACTTGGTTCCCCTTCCTGGCGCCTGGGGAGAAGCAGGAGGGTGGGGACCTGTCCGCGCTCACTCCTGTCTTTCTGGATCTAGGAAAGCAAGGCCCTCGGCGCTCGCCGGGCTCGGGCCTCGGAGACCGAGTCGCGCTGGCGAGACTGCTCAGGGTCAGGGGATTCCAGCGCTCGGCTCTGCCGGGAGAGGGACTCAGGTGTCCTCCTGTCTCTCTGTCCAGATACCCGGGCTGGGTTCTGCTCACGGCCACCCCATTTGAGTGTTAACAGCCCCTTCTAGTCACCCGGGCTCACTTGGAGGCTTTGGGTGCCCAAGGACTGTGACTGCTCCACGGGGTGCTCCCCCAGCCTCTGCACCCACACGTTTCTCTTCGGTTCCATAACCTTTGGCCCAGGTCAGGTCTGGGCTGCCGCAATGATGTCACTTCCGGCCAGCACCTCCTGCTGCACCGCCTGGGTCTGTCACCCCCCAATGATGTGCCTGCCATGGAAGAGGGGGTGCCTGAGCCAGGCTTGAGAGGAGGAAAGGTTATTGCGGGTCAGCAAGCAGTGCCAGAGGGACACTGCCTTGCCTCCTCATCTGGGTGGGGAATGGGGCACTGCTTGGGGGCCCCCCCAAGGACAACAGAGCTCAGCTAATGGCTGAGGAGGGGCGAGGGGTAGACATGCAGCATCACCAAAGTTCCCTGGGGGGGTTACAGGGCAGTCCCTGCTCGCGGGAGAAGGAAGAGGAGGCGGCTTTTCTTCAGACCACTGTTGAGGGATCCCCCACCCCTGCAAGGCCTCTGCCCCCTCCTCTGGGCAGACTCAGGCAGGTCATTGGGATAAGCGTTCAGGCTCTATTGTCTGTGAAACAAGAACAATCTAAGCCTTTGGCCTTGACTTTAGATCCACCCTCTAAACACTCACCCACGGGACAGAGGGAGTCGTAGCACAGGAGAATCCTGTATTTCCAGAAGGCGCGATTATTATTCATTTTGCCATCATTGTCATTTTACACATTGAGATTTCAGAACGAAATCAGCGCTGTGGGTACAGATCAGCCGCGCACGCCTTATGGATCATCGCTGATCTTTTCGTGCTTTAGAATTTTTCAAAACAATCCTTACGTTCATATCTCCTTGGGTGCATTGAAACCATAATTGTATGATCCAAAAGAATTATTTGCACACAGTTTTCCAGAAATGTACAGAACATGCTCGCCGGGATCGCGCGGGATGACATGTGCACATTGTACGTGAGTGTGAAAGTATGAAGGGGAGCAGATCGTCCCCCATCGTGGAGGGGCCAGTGCCTTCCTAGATCCATTCCTAGCCTCGGCCGCCCCGCAGGCTCCTCCCCCGCAACCTCCCTTCTGTGCAATCATTTCATAATGGTTGTATCTAAGCTGCTAGTTTAATCATCAAGATAATAACACACTTTGTACAGAATCATTGATAACAGC